TATTCAATGAAGCAATACTTTTGAAAAGAAAATTCGATTGTGAATAAACGATAATTCAACGCTTGATACACGCATTTGCTTATCGATGAATATTTTATTAAATACAATATCTAGTTATAGAGATTGTGTGCTTTTTTAGATTTATATCTATTTAACAAGATTTTAATTTAAAACAATAAAAATAAAAGAAGAAAAAAATAATACTAGGAAATTTATGAAATAAAATCAATAACTCTTACTGATATACAATCGTTTTCTGTATCCTTAATTCCATTGATTTTAACTTGTATCGTCAATCCAATAAGAAGTCCATCAAAACAATAGCTCTTCGAAATCGATTCAAGTTTGTTCACTCACCAGATTAATGTATCTGACCTCGAATTTTGCTTCTATATTCTTGATCGAATCACACCGTCGATTTTCGTTGTCTGAATCGCGTTTTAAGTATTACTATAGCAACGGAAATGAAAAAATTTCGCTCGATGATGGCCGATTGATCGATTTGGTAGACAAGTTTTTCGTTCTTCTGGTTTTGTGTCTACATAGATAAAATTCATTTATTTAAACGTTTAGTTAATTAATCATTTATTAAAACATTATTTATAACATTAAGCATTTGTAGCAAAAGAATATTTTAATATCCTTTAATAATCTTTAAATACAACAATTAAATAAATATTTCGTCCAAATAATAGGACTTTATATTTTATTGAATGAATTCAATCGATGAGAGTTGATGTAATCGAGTATGAATTAAAATTTCGTTCCGATAAATGATCTTCAGGTAAATGGAGTTCCACTGTAATTCGATTGAGAGAATGGAAGATACAGAAGACAAAAGGAAAAAAATGAAGGAGCATTGAATAGTAAGCGCGTGCTAAATTATCACATTCAGGCTAAATAGTAATGAGGGAACCGGTATACCATTTCTTTTAGCGTACGTGCAAGGAAGGAGCTTTGTTTCGTACGGACAAAGATAGTCGCATTTATGTGAAACTGATGGATCATAAATATTTTCATAGATTTTTGCTTTATTTAAAAATTTTTTTAAATAAATTTTAAACAAATTTATAAAATCAGATTTACGTAAAGATATAAATGTTAAAAATAAATTGTGAACTTAAAATATAAATGTAAATAATAAATGAAAATAGTGATATAATATATCTTTAAGAATAGATTCCAGATCAATCTCTTCTCTAAATCGTGACTTTTAAGAGTAAGAGTTTTATTAATAATTATAGAAATATTATATTGAAATTAACTAATTTTATAATTTTAATTTATATAAAGTAATTTATAAGTTAATATACAAAATATAAAAGATTAATTTTTAAATAATACCTTAATTTTTAAATAATACCTTTTAAATTAATTTTTTTATAGTTTCTTTATGCGTTTCAATCATATTAATTACAATAATTTATTTATTAATTAGAGTAACATTATTGGTATTTTAAGACTTTGTACTCGTTTAAAGAATCTTCTTCTCCAAATCAAGGATACAAAAAGACAATTACTCGCATATATAGCAAAAATATTGTGTTAATATTTTAGTATCATATATATTTCTCTTTAAATTTCCAAAATCAATATTTAACAAATACCATCAAACTCTATTCATATCTAACGGATATATACAACTTTTCTCCTACCTAAACTAAATTCTAAACTTTCCATATTACCATTAAACACACCAAAAACTGAAATGTAAGTTAGTTTCAGTCAGTGCAGCTTCGAAAATTCATTTATGTCATTTTGAAGGCTAATTCAATTAACAAAGTTACACCAGTTCCCTTGCAAATTCACCCATACGTTAAACCACTTTCGCGTCCACCTCAAAAAGAACCACCGAGATCGTAGCCAGTAAATCACCGAAGTGCAACGCGCGTTCCGCCATTAACTGCTTCTTAATTTACCAAAAAGTCGAGTTGACGCAACGTTAGTGACGTTAATGACCGCGTTACCGACATTACGACCAATCTTTCTCCGTGTTTTCTACACGAAACACATAACTGGCATCGATTATTGTTCACGATAAAGGTTTCCACAGATGATCGATACGATGATCGTTTTCTTCTAGGGAATATCGTCGTTATGCACGAGTAATCACGCGATTTAATTGGCGTTCTTCAATTTCGCTTGAAGCGGCGCGAAACTAATATTATCATGCGGAAACCTTTAAGGCTAGCTGAAGGGGAGCCGCCATCGTCGTGTACCAACAATTCCAATAATTGCACGTGACAGAGGAACGCGTTACGCGCGAGATAATTAATCGGCCGATTAATTAAAACCGGTCAACGAGATTGCCGATTCTTTTGATGAAAGATTAGTATCGATGTATGTGTTAGAAATAAATTTAGTAGAGAAAGTAGATCTAGAATTATCTAAGCGGACTTGCAAATATTACTTTAGAAACATGAGTTTTCGATTGTGATGAAATTTGGTATATTGATAGATCTATATGTAAATAGAATAATCGTAATTTAAATTTTTGTCATAGAAAATCAGCCAATTGTAAATAAAATGCATTATTTACAATAAAATTGTAAATAAATGTTTGATATAGTTGAATAGAAAAGTATAAGTTAGGTTACATTCTTCTAATAATAAAATCTTTGGCAATATTGGATTCTCTAATGTTCATAAATTATCGTAATTTTTATAATTTTAGAAAATACTTCTTTTGTGAAATTTATCTTTAAAATTGTCGCGTTACATCAATATATTTGAATTCATGAATTTACAATTTATGTATAACACGATTAGGGTGAGAGAATTAACATTAGTGGAGAAAATTGGAATTCTGGTAATTACGAATCGATAGCAATTTAGCAATCAAATTGCATTTAATTAACGATTCTATTAGTTTGGTTGCTTAATATCAATATTTTATTATGCATTTATTATGCATTTTATCTTGTTTATCTCAATAATTTGTTAATAAGACAAGAAGTTATTCGAAACTCTTGTAGAAAAGATATCGTATCTAGACAGGTACTATAAAATAATTATTAAAATATGTTAAATTTCAATGCAAATTAAAGTACTACTGGTTTTTATCTCGTAATAGTAGTTTTTTTATAAAATGCTGACTATAAATTTATTTGATTTCATATAAATTCATACTTCTGTTTTTCTGTCATCTATGAAAAATGTTTGCTCCATTTTCTGCTATCTCGAATATTCATACGAAAAGCATTTTTTATTTTCAATTTTGAAGAAATTTAGCAAAAAATAATAATAATTAAATATCTTTCAATGATAATTTCAAATCAATATTTATTGTTTCTCTAACTATTAATATCTTAATATTATCATTTCTAAATATTTTATTCATGTGTATTTTGTACTTAGTAAATTATTTATTTTTCAGAAACTGCAACAATATTTCCAGCAAGGAAACGTACGTTATCCTGATATTCCTACTAAATAGATAAGCGCAATAAAAAATCGCCCACTCTCTACGAGCGAATGTACAAAACCGTGTAACCTTCAGCCGAAGAAATAATCTCCTGGATGAATCATGGGGAAGATATTTAAGGTGAAAACTGTAGATAAAATACTTGGTATTTTATTTTGTACCAAACACAACATCGTAAAAGTAATTTCTGACTTCTCCTTCTGAAATTTTAGGTTCTATTATAAATTAAAACTACATATATCGTATGCTATCATATTCTCTTATCATCAACGATACGATTAAAATCCTACGACTAAAACGATTTGGCAAATAAAAGGATTATATAATTCATAAATTAATTAATCTTTCATTCACCATTTCACAGTTTTAACGTCAAAAATAATCACAAATCTTGAAATTACACGTTCGAAAATCCGAAGTAAAGAAAAAGAAGAACATTTTTTTTAATTGATAAGCAATTAAAGCGATTAAAAATCGAGTATGGATCACAAATCGATAATAACCGGACGATAAAATTCTGAGAAAGATTATGGACTGGCACTATAAATTATCGTTCTGCGCGCGTCCACTCATTTAAACGCGTGAGTTGCGCTTTGTCCGCCGGATCGTAAAGTTTTCCGCTCGAATTTAGCTCCGATTCTTCTCGCTGATTCGATGCCGGACACCTACGTCCGCGGACTCGAGGGTGGCGATACACCGTTTTATGCAAAGAGGTGAGTGAAGTCAACTTCTCTCGGAGCAGGAAGTAGGTGGATCGAGCGAGAAAATTGATCTCCTTCGATCGATTAAGGGAAAATTTAGCGAGTCGTTTTACGTGTGACTTTCGTTTCGTCCGACACAATGGGAAATACAGACCCATTTTATTGCGCAATCCGGTGAAACGTACTTCTTGACCTGCTTCATATTCGCAATACAAAGTACATTTGCTTATGATCGATGCTGACTTCGCATCCATATGCTGATTTTATTATATATATTTTAAAACGGAAGCTAAAGAAAGGCTTTTTTTTTCCTTGCGTCGGAGAAGAATAAATTGTGAGTATATATTTTTTATGATTATAAGAATGAATCATTTTTAGATTTTAATTAATTTATTCGACTTCTCGTTTAACTCGTTATATTGTACGATTGTTAACTCTATTATAATTTTAGAACGTTCATATTTTTGTAACGAAGATTTGGGCGAAGCTTCCATTTATTGCAAGAATAAGTATGATTATGAATTAACATATAATAAATTATTAAATAAAGATAAATTATATAATATTATATAATAAAAATAATGATTTGAAGTAAGTCGTTTTAACGAACGAAGAATATTGGAGCGCTAATTATGATTTAAAATTATACAAAATAATTATCTATTATCTCAAATCAATCCCTATAATAACATTATCAATTACAAATCAATCTATCTCAATAAATCTACAATTTTAATACATTCTTCCAGAATTTTTAGCATCAATTCACAGTTTACAACACTTTTCTTATTTAAAATAATGAATGAATCGTAAACAGTAATACAAAACTATTAAAAACTCATCGAATCACGAATAAATTTCTAAAAAAAACTCACCCAGGATGATGCTTGGTATAAGTAGCCGCAGTGGTCGTGCGATGCTGATAGCCCTGAGTGACCGCTTCCCTCTGCTGGTGACGATGATTGTTGTGATAACCGGCGTAAACGATGGCCCTGCTGCCGCTGTACTCCCCAACCGCGCTAAATTTCTCCGGTTTCGAGATTCGTTGCTCGTGAATGCGCTGTTCCACGCGATTCCTGGATCCACCGATTATCGACGGTGCGATCGTCGAGCTGCTTCTCATGGGGAACATATCGTTCCTGCTCCAATTTCTCGCCGCGCTCTGTTGAAAACTCCTATCATCATGACGATCATGACGAGCTCGAACAAATTTTTCGTGGAACCAGACCGGCCAGATGAGTCTATGATCGGTGAGATCTCGATGATCATTGTTGGACGAGTGCTCGATCGAAGAGATCGCCACGGGTAGAACGAGAAACGCGCACATCAGAAGGTTTTTCGATACGAAAGCCATCTCTGGGCCAGCCTCTGATTATTTTGACGATATCTGATGGTTACAGGTTACAGCCGCGACAAATGGATCACATTCTCGATTATTTTGATCGAGGCTAGGTTCGACAGAACGTGCCGCAATGGATACGTCGAACAGGCACGATGGACATCCGGTGCGAAATCGTTCGAAGGCAACCGAGAGCACTACTGAACGAGACACACGGAGTAGGCCCCACGTGCTTGAACAACTCGTACCAACCCCACCATCCTTCTTTCTTTCTCTCTTTCTCCTCGTATCCTCGTTCCGCCCCTCGTCCTCTCTCGCACCCATTTCTCGTTCCTTTCTTGTACTGCTCGGTAAGGCCTCTTTCTTCGTCCCGCTTTGTCCGTTTCCTTTCTACCTGTCTGCTCTCCTGATACACCGCCAACCGCTCGACTAACCACCTACATATCCTTGCACGCGTTCGACAAGAAGGCTTAGGATAGAGAGACAACGGGCCTGTGTTGTTTGTTCCTCAGGATAGATGGGACAACCGGGCGAACCGATTGCGAAACTCGAAGGGTACGCTTGTTGCGATAGTATTTTTCATTTTTTTCTTTACTCTTTGTTGATTCATGCCATTGAGTTTTGCGCTAAGACGCTTATTGTAATAATAAAATACGAGATGAGAGGATGATAGCCATGGATGTCAGGATGGATTATACTTACAATTAGAAGAGGATTTTCTAAATATTGACTTAGAAACTAGATTGATCAACTTCATATTTTCTTTGAAAATTTCTTAAATTTAATACTACGTTAAATTTCTCTAAAAAATCAAACAATTGATAGAGATAATAAATTTGGTTTTTTTCATTGTTTTGGAATATCTCGAATAATACGTGTGTAAACATGTGTAAATTATTCGCAGATATTGTAGGCGAATTGTTATATCTTGTTTTATTATTCCAGATATATTCCTGCACATTATTGTCTCTAAGTCTGTTACGTAGATATCTTATATCAATATTTTTATTTTACAATAAGTATACGATAAAAATAAGATTTTATAAGAAGACAAAAAAATTGATTTCAATTTAATTTTATATTTTATATCTTGAATATTTTTAAATATTCAAATATTTTTTAATATTTTTATGCAACTTGATATTTGTAAAAATACTATGCAAAAGTAAATGAAGAAACACATTCAAAATCCAAATTTATATAAAAATGTTAATACGGATGGAATTGGAATGAAGGTAGCAATATACTTTTATATATATACATATATATATAAGCAGAGTTTTCAAATGCTTTCAGGTTCATGCTGAAAATTGCACGAAATGTTTGCAACATCTACATACTTTGACGAATCTTAACAATACTATGTTTGTCTTCTTTACAAAATATCAAAAATTGTACAAATAATTGTGAAATTCAGAACTTTGTATATTATTATTCAACGAAGAAATTTTAATTTTAATTTTATGAAGTCATAAAAGTTTAATGCGTTAGAATAAAATATAAGTCTTTCAAATATTGTTTATTTTCAATCCAGTAATTTACCAATTATTGAAGGAATATTTCTCATCATTTTCATTGAGAAGATTCATTTTCTATAATATTTTTTCTCAACTGTAAGATTTTTATGTGAAATTGTTAATTGAATTTATTTTCTTTCAATACATCCTTATTTAGCATAGCAAAAGCATCAATAACTCCTCTCTCCTTCCTTCCTCGTAAAAACTCAGTAGACTAAATAAAAGCCAGAGGAAAGGTTTACCAAGCATTCAAATCGAATACCAACATATCTTCCTTTGTTCCAGAAGTAGGCGAGCTTCTGCATAGCGTGCAATCAACGCCGCATCGAGCAACGCTGCTAAACCGTTCCCAGCTTGGAACTCATCCGCACAACCGTGTTATTTCAACCGTCCAATAAATCAACAATTTCCTCCAACGCCAATTTCCTGAAAACGAAAAATCAAAAGGGTACGATGAACTGAACGATCGTGTTTCACAAGCGTTTATTGCATCCTTCCACTATTGACTCGCGATCGATTTCGAGATCCTAAGAAACTAGAAGTTTTCCTTATTTACGATGTAATAAACGTTAGCTTTCTTGTTTAAAAGGTGTCATAGATTCTTCCGAGACGAATGTAGGTCGTGAGTCGCTAATCACGAATAGTTGAAAATTATGAGGCGAGGAAAAGCGCGAATTCAGCTGTGATCGTGTATTCAATTTGTCAGCCCAATCGATTTTGTATCCGGATAATAAAGGAACTGAAAGTAATAATACTAAAGTTGATGCAGTCTTGTACCGCGTTTACACGCATAATTACATGGTAATGAATAGATGCTCGATTATCTGGCGCATATAGAAAAGACAATGGTTATAAAGATAGTCGTAATTACTTATGATTTAATGTCAAGCACATTAAACCGGTCTATTTCTTGATCTTTTATTTGTTAATCTTTTCTACCTGCTTCTCTGATCCCGGTATCTAATTGTGCCATGTTGAAAGGATACAGGTTTTTTATCTTTTTTGATACTTGGAAATTAATTTTTTTTTGTGTGATGTTTGATGTTTAGATTTTTTTATATTTGTTCAGTGTAATATTTGCAAATATTTTTGGAAATTAGATCATTGATTATGAATCGTTTTTGCTCTCTGTGATAAATAAGTTTTAATAACATGAATTTCATTCTTTCTTCATTAAAATAGACGTAACATGGTATTATTATTGTTTAATTTTTTAAAAATGTTATTCTTAGCAAGTCATTCTAAATATATTTGATTCAATATTGAATATTATAATAAAAACTTTTATTTCTTTTTAATCTTAATAATTTATTAATGAATTATACATTTCCACGTTTAGGAATGCTATAATATATAAAGACAAGTTTAAGAACGATGATTAATATTGGAAAAAAATACGACATTGAAACTCTTAAAGACATGCATAAACATATGAAATCATCATAACCAAAAATGGATGATCTCGATAAAAACAACTTCAACGTGATATTCTTGTAATTAAAGTTTGTACAAAAAAGAGCAACAGATTATCGACAGAATACAGTGTGTGAATACAGGTAGTTAAATCGTCCTTTCTCTATTTGATCGCAATCAAATCTTTATTCCATCGATCAAACTTTTCTCGTAAACTTGATTTAAATTAGACTCACAGTACTGTATGTCTTTCAACGAAATTGAAATCGGAGATTAGAGACAAAGTACTCGAAACTGCTGTGATTCATGATCGTCCTTGGAAAATCAGTTTTATTCCTCAATTCAAGAATTCAATTTCATTTCACTTTATTACGAGATTTTCCACGGATATATCTATTCTATCTAATTTGCAGATATGTATAATTCTCTTCAATATTTTCTCTTTAATTATTTGAAATTTCTGAAGATCTAAATGGAGCAGAACTTTAATTTATCTATTTTTTTTTTTAATATTCTATAAATTTAAAATAAAAAATAAATCAATAATATATTTATATTCATATTATTTTCATGAAAATTATTGATTTTATTTATTTCAGAATAATTCTTAAGCAATATTTTATAATTAAATATTTTTCCCATATATCTTTATTAATATCTTTATTATTTTTAATCACTATATATAATTATGTATACTTTTAATATATATGCTTAAGATGAAGATATAAATAAAGTTATCGACAATTGTTAATATTTAAATATAATATAATATTTAGGAGTTATTTTGACAAAAAAAAGCAAACATGATCTTATAATCGTTCAATGGCAAAAAATATTTAAATAATATTTTAACAATTTATTATACGATAATATCAAAAAAATGTTATGTTTTGAGATAACAGTAGTACTAGAAATTATGCTTAAGATTATGATAAATTCATAAGTACATAAAGAATATAAAAAAACAATTAGTATTTACTCAAATTATAAAAATTCCTGTATAAAAGTCAGTCTAGAATATAATCATTTGTTAAACAATCATTTCTTAAACACATTATTCCAAATCAAAAAATCAATCGTGATTTGAATTATGATTACGAGAAAAAATCCAATCAGTTTATCATAAACATTTGCCACCAGAATAAATTTTAAATAATCATGTCCAAAGAGGGCATAAGCTAGTATTAATATCGAACACGTGCTCCTACGATCCTCTGATACGATACAAAGCTCTCGAATTGATACGTTAGAAAAAGCGGATTAGAAAATCGAGCAAAACGATCAGCCTGAACCGGTCGTGTACCAGTTTCCATTTGTCACAATGAATTATTCACGGTTCCAGAAAAATATTCGAACGCAAGGGCATCCGGCATTCACGGAACAAAGGGTTGTGAAACGACGTGTTCTCCTTCTATCCCCAGGCCTCTCTATATTCTCGTTGTCCTGGTGACACTCGGGCCCAGCCCGCTTCTTCTTCTTCTTCTTCTTCGTCTCCTCCTATTCCATGTGAGCGAGATGATTTCTTGCGAGTTGGCTCGCAATCGCGTTGTTAAAGGGAGATAGAATCGCTGGGTATCTTGCGGTAAAGATAACATCTGCGGGAGCCGCGAGAGATTTGCGGTAGACAGTGGCTTCAGCCTCCAACTGCCTACGCATCTTCCAGCTGCACCGGCTGGTCCACCTGCATTGCAGCATTGCACTGGTTCAATGTCGGTGCACGTTGACCGCGTGTAACGATTGGAATGTTACTTGTCGAAAATTTGTGTCCAAGGAATCGTGTGATGGATGCAACAAATGATGAGAGAAGTATTCTCAAACGTGTTGTATCGGATTTGCAATTTTATCGAATCTCGTAGTTTTGAGAGAATTATTATATTTAGGAGTGAAAAACAATTCCAATTTCACCGAATTGAAATTTTATATCTCTTTTTTAAATGAAATATTTGAATTTAAAGGAGAATAATTTATCGCATTATATGTTTAATTTTGAGATTGCCAAGGTTAAAGTTGAGTGATATGCTATAAGAAGTTAGACTTAGAAGAAGAATAGAACGAAGCTTTTTAATATCGTAGCAGGGTATGTGTTCTTGGAAGTATTAAGTCGAAAAGTTTTCAGACGAGTTGAAACTTTCTTAATTGTAAACCTATTAAGTCAATCTCGTTTAAGTTACTTTTTAAGTTTTATCCTTATTGGCGAGGTTAAA